AAAAGTTGTGTTTCCCCTGCACAACATTGAAACAACTGTTAATGAAGTGTACATATTGTAGCCACAATAAGGCTCCATGTAGTTCACAAAGGAAAAGACAGATGCATTTATATCATAATAAAACTGTTGCAAATCTTGTGTCTAAATAGCTTTTAGTCATTTGTTGTTTTTTTTAAATATAAATACACTGAATAATTGAAGACATTTGAAAAGTTAGTGTTGGCTGTTTCTTACATTTGTTGAAATGGTAAGTTTTGAGTATTCTTCCAAAAAGAATGTAAATCAGTGTCATTTCAATTCAACATTTCAAGATCATTTCATTTTTTTCTATTTTCAGCTGCACTGACAAACCATAGCTTACCTTTCAAATGAGTCAAACCTAGAGGAACACCATTTCTAATGCATGCATTTTTCATATACAGTATTTAATAATGTTTGTGTATTTTGTGATTTGGATTTTCAGTTGTAATAAAATTACATAATGTAAGGTTAACGGCAGACACCACCAAGGATATTTTTGTACTATACAATGTAGAGGTGCTTTTTTAAAGAGAAAAAAAAACAGCATTTTGATATGAAGTAATCGGAAAGCCCACTGCTGAGATTTTGAACTTATGGAAGAAGTAAAATCTTAAAAAACTTTCATTACAACAAGACATTCTGAATACAACTGATCCCAACAAACTAGTTTCATAGCATTTTGGAGTCTGACATGTGGAAGGCTTTGTTTTTGTGGATATTCAGAAATCAGTGTTTAGTGAAAAAAAATTTAGTGAAAAAAAAAAAGTATTTTGGCAAGAAGTATTTCTTTGATGTATTTTGGTTTCTCTCTTAAATACTCTTGCCTCTTGATGCATAAAGTTGTGTAGCTGCCACAAAAGAGAGAAAATGCTGTTATTGCTTTTTTGGATACTTTTCCACGCCTTCAACTGTAACTTTGAATGCTGCACTGTTTGTTCTACCTGAAGTGCCATGTGTTGACAGCCTTTAAAGAGTCAAGTTTCATTTGAGCTCACGTCGTCATGAAAAATAAAAGTCTGAAAAGATGCTACTCAATATTTTGTCTTGAATCAAAAAGGACTGAAACATCATTGATACTGTAAACGGACAGACAGTGCCTTTGCCTGGGTTCATCAGATTTTGCTGCTTCAAGTCTTCCTTTTACCAATGAATAAAATTCCATTTTAAACCTGTATTTCTTTCCTGAACGTTTTCTTTATTTAACAACCATTAGAATAATTAATACATCTACTGATGCAACAATTCCAGTTGTTAATCATGAAGTGTTGCATATGTTCATCTTGACCTTTGTGATGTTTATAGATTTACATCATGAACCCTGTATTTCAATAAACATCGGACCCGCTTCAAGCCCATCCATCCATCCCCCCATCCCTCCATCCATCCACCCATTCATCCATCCTTTATCTTTAACGCTTTTCCTGTTCAGGGCCACAGCGGGGTACACCCTGGACTTTTCACCAGTCAATCACAGGGCTGACAAATAAAGACAGACAACCAGCAACACTCACATTCACCTACGGGCTTCAAGCCCAAGAGTGGAGAAAAAAGCTTCCACGATCCTCGTCATCATCACTGCTGCTTTTGCTCTACTAGGTGCAATTTTGCGATGAGCCACACGATGGCAGTTTACCCCCAGTAAAAAAACTATACACTGTGTAACACATCAGTGAACATTTGGTCAATGATACCTGTTTAACATTGAATTAACAGTAAACATACCTGCACACAGTTTATCTGAATACATTAAATGTGGCTTTTGAGCTTGTACAATTGCATTCACCCGGTAAGACAACATGACTACATGAGATAATCAAAATTATACAATATTTGTTAACCTATAGTTGTTCCTTGTATTTTTCTCCTGCAAACATCAGAAATGTAAAAAAACCCACTAATATCTCTTGGAGAAAAAAAGTGTAATGGGAAAAGACTCAAATGACACGTTATGTTATGTTTCTCAATTTGTAATGTTTTTGACAGTAAGAGCATGGTTTAATCTCAAAACTCAAATATGATAATAAACCTGGTGACTGGTAGGCAAACTTACTAGTGTATATGTTGTTTATAAAAGATCACATTTATACTGCCTGAAGCTTCTGCCCACTGAGTGCAACATCAGACATTGACATGTTATCAAATGATCTGTTGAATGAAAAATACTTTTTTTTTTTAAAGTCTTAGTTTTAAATTCTCTGTTTCCTAAGTGTAGCTAGTGTTTGAAATAGTTTTGTAACAGGAAATTCAGTTAATTCTTGTCAAACAAATTGATGAAAATCAACCTTAACTTTCTCAACACCAAAGAGAGGTGATGTTTTTTCATCTCCTACTTCCCCTTCCCTTGTGGTATTAGTGGCCGGAGCAGTGTGTTGAAATAACTCACACTTTGAACTGTCACTTAGAGATAAGCTGCCATTAGTTTGCTGTCAACAAAACGTACAGTAAACACTTCATCCGGTCACATAGAACAAGCCAGGGGTTCTCCTAATAACTATACTTCAATACATTTCACATCAGTTACTGTAGTACCTTACTCTCATTTTGTCACAGTATTTTTTCTAAATATCCCCTTAGTAGACTTAGTAGACATAGTGCCTTAGCACCAGAGGATGTTAAGTTTAGGTATAAAGGAAGAAAAACCTCAATCACAAAACTTTGTGCCCACATCATATATTGAGACTAAAAAAAAAGAAGATTTTAGGTTAAAAGATGGATGTGACATTAAAATCTCTACAGCAAACCAAACTGTTTTATTTGAAGAGCCCCCAAGCTAATTTTACCTTGGTGTACAAACTTTGGTAAACACTACCTGGAGTCATACCTTAAACCAGACAGGAAGCCCACCATCTTGAATGTATTTTTATTTTTTATGTATTTGTGAGTACAGTTGAAAGACAGAAAGATGTGTTTTTGATTAAATATACACCTGATCGTCAAAAATATTATTCATAGCCACAGTGCCAGCTATTCCAATTTATATCAATGCCAGAAAACATTTTTCAATATGATGTCATCTATAATTCCTCAAACCCTATAGTGTAGAGGGTTGTGAGTCGATTTAAAGGGTAAGTACGTATAGGCTTAAAAACTTGACTCATATGACAATGGATTGTTTGATTTTAGACATCTAAATCGACGTTTTGGCATTTGTTCCTATTTCCATTGATCATATTTAAAGAACAGGTCATTCGTTTACTAAGTAGAACAAATCAAATGTAGGTACACTTCTAAGCTGAAGAAAACATGTACAATATACTATACTAAAATATTAGCATACACTATACTTCAATATACTGTACTTAAATAGACTACACTTTAAAACATGATATTTAAAGACACAGTACTTTACTGTACTTAAATAGACTTTAATAGACTATACTTAGATAATGTAATAAATGGTTCCACTACTCTATCCTTATCTTCATCTTCCAGAAGTATGAAAAAATATTACATGAGACAAATGAAATAGAGTATTTAACTTGAATTATTTAAAAAAAGAAAAGAAAAAGAAAAAGAAACATTCTCTGCCTGTCAGCAACTGTGTATTGGTGTGTGATGCAGACAGGTGTTTGATTGAAGAGGCCATGCCCTCTAGAGACAAACACACCGATAGACAAAGGGCGAGTAGACACAAGGGATACACAGGGAAAACAGGATCACAGCCAGAGCCAGGACATCCTCCTCTCTAGATCCTTGCTTGTGTTGTTCTTACTCTCTGATGTCCTTCGCTTTGGAAAAAAGGGTTTGCTAAATGACTTGAAGATTTGTAGAATGATGCTTTTTACATACATGCAGAGTTTACAAGATACAGGTCCCTCACTGATTGGTTAAGGGAATTTAGGCAAGTATAATTGTCTAAATGTGCATTGTGTTTTACAGTCAGGGGGAATGTATAATACTTAATTCAGATAATCTCTATTCTGTGTTCAACACCACTGCTTTGTTTGGAAATGTTCTCCAAAATCATTAACTCTGGCAGCTCCAAGCTATCAGGGTCCGTCACAAGCAGCCCTTTTCCTCCTGTAATCCCTGAGCCTTGATGTTTCCTCATCTTCAATTTACTGCAAAATAAGAACAACACTCCACTCAGGTCTGTGGACAATTAACATACAGTAGTGATGTTCAGTCACTTTGTATAATAAGGAAGCTCAGTGCACAGTACAGTTGTAGCTGTCTAAAGAGAAGTCCAGAGAGTGATTCATTGTGCATTAGTCCAGAGTAGTTTGAGGAAGTTACGCTGCAATGTGCTTGGTACATTCTGGTTGCAAAAACAAAAGCGGGTTTTGTTGAAAAAAAACAGAAAAAAGAGCAGTAATAAAAATAAAAACAGTTTAGAAGTCAAAGTTAAATAATCCAACCTCACAGAAAGGCTTCATGGACAAGAGGAGATCCTTCTCTTTTTCAAAATCCTCGTAGCTTATAGCAGAGTAAATAGACCACCCATCAGCAGTGTCAATCAGACTAAACACTGATGCTTTTTCTTACAATAGGAAGGAACAAGAGGAGATGTTCAACATATAGAAAATAAACAAAAACCCACACACATCTGGATAAATGTACCCAGCATATGAGACACAATCGAATAAATAAAACAGCCCTGACACTCTGATCACATTCAGACTATTCCTAAGCGTATGTAATCTAAACTCTACACAGTTTGATCTGAATTTGTCTCTGACTAAATGTCAAGGTAGTGGTCAATGCTTCCTGTATTTTTAACTTTATAAAACTACATACATTTCCAGAAGCCTTCCTGCAACAAAATGGTAAGAGTGCATGAAAAAGGCCACAAAAGGCGAGTTGAACTGTTGACAATGTCTCAGCAAACGTTTATCTCGAAAGCTGTAAGCCACAGAAGCCTTAAACAGCATTTCACAACCATGACATGTTGACACTTTATTTCCACACGTTTCCTGAGCACTAGCTTTGCAGTTATCTTCCTTGTTTTGACTTCCTCTTTGCAGGGTTAAAGCTTAATGGTCAAACCAACTGTCTTGTACAAAGTGTCATCATTGTGAACTCTCGTGACAGACAGAGGGGCAGTGTAAGGACTCATCTGCTGAAACTTCAAAAGATCTCTACACTCAGGTAACAGTTCATTGCTAAACTGCTGTGTTCATAATGATAGCTTTTGGTTCAAAGTTAAATGCATATTTTTGACGTTTTTTGGTCCTTTATGTTTAAATTGGTATAAGTGTTTTGTTTATTAAATCAACAGGGACATCTTTGATTTGGTGAGACCAGGCCCCCCACTTAGTGTATTTGACAAGCTGAGTTTGACACTCTGTATCCGTGAGTGTCAGTTTGTCAAATACCCCAAGTGAGGTGTCACTTGTCTACAAGTTGACTCCGCAGACTAAGCACACAATTCTGCAGGATGATCTACCGTACCAAGGAAAGACCAGAGCTGCAAGCTGGAGGTGCTTTGCAACTTTTGACGATATAGACAAAGTATACTGGTTAAAGTGTTAACCATGAAGACCGACAGATGCTCTGTCCCTTCATTATATGTTTATCTGCAATGAGGGGGCAGAGTTAATATCTCTCATATAGCCTACATGCATCTGTTAAGGGTCCACATATGTATCAGTGAAACAGTAAAGGCTTGTTTGAATTTTGGAGAGTTAAGTGAGGAGATAAACTAACTAAAGAAAATCCTAATCTCATGAACCTAGACATGTTTATCCTCATTTATATTTTAAGGGTTTTAGGATAGTTACTATTTCACAGTCAAACTAAACATACTGTTACGCTCTGAAATAATAAAGAAATAACACAAATAGTACTAATTATATTAAATATATTTTTTTCATTTTTATCATGTTCAAAATTCTAGAATAACCCAAGTGTCACATGATGCTAAGTGTTACTTCCAGTCGTAAATGTATCTCATATCTTCAGACTCTGACTTGGTAAAGAAAGGGAAATAAACTAGTTGGACCTCTTTTGAAGAATTTGTTTATAACCTAGGTAGGCCTACAGTTTAAATACTCAACAAAAAGGAATCAACCATGAAGCAACAAAGGTTAATGTGGAGCATTGTTTTTTACAGCCTAATCTTTTTCTAAAGGGTTAAACTAACATTCAAGAGCTGCAGACAGAAGCTTATCTTCCAACTGACTTATACAAGACAACACTTATCGTCCTGCCTTACATATCCTGTTCGTGTGGAGTCATCCAGTGTTGCCTTGATGTGCAAGAAGAAATGTGTTTGACATTCAAATTGTAATTATTGGCTGCATTCTCACTTACTGCATGTAACTTCTGTTTGAACATTAAAAACGATATAATGCTTTGCCATTAAAATGTCCATGTCATAAAAGTTGTTAAAAGTTCTAACTTGCTTGATGTCTGTAAAAAGCAAACACCTCTATGACTTTTTTATTTCTTCTACTGTGCATGATTGCAGGAGGAATCTGGTTCCATATGGTGGACTTACTGTGTCAAAGGATGCATGAGTAAAAGTGTGTTACCCTTTCACGGTTAACATATTCAATAAACATTGATTGTGTTTGGTATACTTGGTATTAACAATTTTTATTTTAAATGATACTGTCAGGATTTATATCCACAGCTTTTTGTGTAGATAGTCAGATTAGATAATTTGAGTCAAGGAGTTAAAACATTTCCTTTTTTGCACGTTTAAATGTGGTTATGCACGAAAGCCAAAAAACATGTTCCATGTTTATGTCAATGCTTTCCGGATAATTTTTTCTTGAATTTATTTTCTTGAATGAAAATTAGTCTGAAACAGGATATGAAAAAGCGGTTTGAAGCACACTGAAACACTAAAAGGACATTTATCATATCTGTTTCAAATCAAACACATAAGCATAAAGATCAACATTAGACGCTCCCGGTATAAAATGGCACACCGCCAAAGCACGTTTTAGATGCTATCTGTATTTTCAGAGGGCTACAGGCCTCCGATAACGCTGCTAACTTACAGCTTCTTACTTATGTTACTGCACCCCTGTTTCCAAAAAAAAAACAATTCCACACCTGCAATGTTACCAGACGTCCAGAGGAATTACAGAAAAAGAGTCCATGTGTAAACACATACAGTCAGAGACACATTTTTAATAAAAGGTTTTATCAAATACTCCAAAGTTGGATATGTATCTGCTACTTTCACCTTGCATCTGTGAAACTAAAGTACGACAAGACAATCACACAGGACAGAGGAAGTGTAATAAGGGTTACATGCATTCATTTAGGAGTAAATGTGACTACAAGATGCAAAAATCTCACAGTACCTGCTTACTTTCGTCCTTTTTGATGTTGTTTTGCATTTGTTTCTGTTATTGCAGCACACACACTTCTTACCCCATAAGTGGTGGTAGAGTTTCACGAGTTTGATTGAACACTCAGCACATACTGGGTATTTTCCATGCACACAAACCCAGATTGTTCTGACGTTTGTTTGTTTTTTTACTGCAGATGAAAACTCAGTTCTGAAACAGGGATCAGATGATTACTGCAGATTTTCTTTGTTTATATAGATACTACTACTACTACTAATACTATTAACAATAATAGTAATAACTTTATTTATCTAGCGTCTTTAGGTTTACAAAGTGCTTTGACATACAAGCGAAAGCAACATTAGAACAAAGCGTGAGAACCCAAACACAAAAGATCCAAAACAACACCAAGGTAACCAAGACAACACAAAAAAAAAAAAAACAGCAAAAGAACCCATACAACAAAATACCAATGTACTGTAAGTAAAACAAACATCACAAGAACATCATAAAAAGCCATCATGAATATACTCTCTCTATTTTATTGCCCATTTATAATGGACTTAACGGCAGTGGGTACATTATTTACTCATTAAGTATCATGGAGATATCTGAAGGTAACAATTGTGAATTTTCTGTGAATGAATAGTGCACCTTTCCTCCTTTCTTGTTGTTGACACAGTCTGATGACAAGTCAAACATCTAATTGTCCATAAAGATTAATGAGATGATGAAAAACACTATAAAATGTTTCAACAAAAATCTCAATGACACACACAACTCACACGCAACAATTTTCAGGGGCAATTTGTAAAACTCCATCCATAAAGATCAGGGCCGGCCTGTGGCATAGGCAGTATAGGCAAATGCTAGGGGCGCCTGCCGTCCATAGGGGGCATCCTGGTACCCGAAATGAGTGAGGAAGAACAGTTGACAAAAATAAGAAGAAAAAGAAGGAAACGTGTGTTTAACTATTACTTAATGTTATTTCATCTGCATCACCTATTTAAAAAAGTCATATTTTCTTGCTCCCTGCTCATTACCTGCTCTTTGAAGGGAAGGAGGGCAAACTTGTTATCAGAAGTGATTGACACTGATCACAAAGAAAAGCTGTAAACCATAAAGCTGTTTGCCAGTTTTCTTTAAGCGTATGAATATTGTGATTGGTGGTGGAATTGGTTGCAATACAAGGGGTACCAGCTAAAATATTGCCTAGGGCACCAAGTGGGTTAAGGCCAGCTCTGATAAAGATGATTTATTCTGAATGTCCATTAGTTGTATGCTTAACAAGTTATAGTCATTCTGGCAAATTAGCCAAAATAATTTATATCTTGAGCATTATTTTTTTCTCAGTTACACGGAAAACATCACTGTCTTTGGAACAAGTAGGATTCTGGTAGAACATGTTCATACCATGTGCACATTATTTGCACTAAGCCTTTAAAGATTGAGCTGCCATTGAGGTCAAAGCGATGTGGCAGCTTTCTTGCACAATCTTTTCTGAGTCCTGATATTTAAAACATTTTCTGGCTATAACTACCTAGCCCTAGTCAACCATGGCAAAAGAATATATCCATTAAAACACCCCTAAAAACAGTCAACACACACCCATCATTTCAAAGTAAAAACTCCTAAAAGAGTCTTTTAATTGTAATTCAGATTGAGATTGGAATAGTTTTCTCCATGTGGTTGTACTGTTGTATTGTATTTATTAAGGAAAGCAATTTGGTTATTATTTAGAGTTATTTATTAATTGACCCATGTTATCTGACCTGTAATTCAATCACGTTGGTACTTTGGAACTTGTCAGAGAGCATTGTTGGGTGTTCATCGTTCAGCAGAATCATTGTTGAAACTGCATCAATACATCATCAATCAATATTATCTTACATGTCAGCCAAAATGTTTATGAACAAACAGAGAACCTAGGTGGAATGTAAAATTATACTTGGTACATTAACCAATAAAGATCTGCCGCTTTCTTTTAAATCAGTCTAAGCTGTGTTCGAACTGGCTCAAAGTAAGTGACAAAGGAAGGGTATCACACATGAAACAAGGTTTGAAGGAAGTTAATTTATTATCAAACTAAAGTTAAAACAATCATAATTATGTAAATCAGTCATGAATGCAATGTATGGATGAGTGTAGTGTTGTAAAGTGCAAACAAAAGCAAACCAGTTGGTGGAGGAGTCAAACAAGTTAGAGTGGAAGCCACTTATAAGCAGAGTCCTGATGGACTCAGGTGTACCCAGTTGAACTAATGGCCTTCCTGACTCCGCCTACTGGCTGCCTAGCCAGGAAACCAAACAAATGCAGACAGAGGGCAGGTCCCCCCCCCCCCCCCAATAAAAATAGGAATAATTCCTTTATTAATCGTCGTAACATTTTACAAATGGTTTCTTTAAACAAACATTCTAAACAGTCAAACAAGTGACACTATTATCACTTATCCTTGTAGTCAACAGAAAGACAAATTGAAAATGTAATACCTTTGTTTAATCATCCTCTCAACAACAACCTGTCAACCGGTCTCACCTCAGCAACCTTCGATCCTAAGGAGCAAATTAAGAGGGAGATTGAAAGCACAGGATATAAAGTTGAGGAAAAAGCACAAAATGGTGTGTTAGATCAAGCACACAAAGTTAAAATATTCCATTTGTGGTTTTGTTTTCTTCTTCTTTGAAACATGGAACAGTGAGGATTTGGTCAGTATACAGACTTATATTCAAACTCAACCAAAGTTAATTTTTTAGATGATTCAATTAATTATGTTCACACAGTATGTCTTTCAAATGTCCAATCAAACGGTCTGCAGCTAGACAAGCATTCACAACGCCTTGCTTTCACGAAACTGACACTTAACCAAAACAAGGTCACTCTATCCAAAAGCACCAAAAGGCTATCTAGCCACCAAAGTGTCCACAGACACATGTGCCAACCCAAAGAGGACCATGTTACACAAACAAAGCTCATCCCATCAAACTAATTCAATCCAAAACTGCCAGACCTTACGTTGCAATACTTAACATCCAGAGTAACCACTCACTGAGCTCCCAGCTTAGAAACTGTTTCCTGATCATGCAACAAAAAAGAAATCTATCCAAAACCATTTATTGCCAAATTTCTTCCATCAGAAAATGTGTTTTTTTTTTTTTTAAACAAAATGCCAACGGTCTCAAAACTGTAATTGCATGAGACATCACTCAAACCAAATGATGAAAATATCAAAACGGGGACAAATGCTACTCCACCACCAAACAAATTCTTTCCATGTTGAGAAACATGGCCCAAAATTCAGGAACCAATTAAATGTGACCTAAGTTGCCAAAATCTCCTACAAGTGAGCAGCGCAAGCAAGCTCCTGAGTGCAGTAATCAAAAAGCAATTCTCCCTGGTACCTGCCTACTTTAACTGAATCTGACTTTCTTCTGAGGCATGCCGGGCTTGAGGCGACTTTAAAGACTTAACATCAGACCTGTGAACAGGCCTGACACGCCTACCCCCAACAGAGAACAAGTCTCCGCCCAGGATTAAAATAATGAAGGAAAAATAACAAATGAGTGAACCGTTGGAAGGATGAATAAATCAGCCCAGCTGGCCCACTCCCTCACTCACCAGGGAGATCACTTGAAAACAACATCACAGCACCCAAGACACATAACCCAACATCTACTCACTAGAATGTGAAAAAAATCACAGCAGAACACTGCCACTGTGCTCATAAAGCACACCTTTAACAAACAAATTCAACCTACACAATCTAGAGGTAGCTGCACAAAAACCATCCAAATCTGATAGATCACATAAGCCAACATTCGTCATAAACACACAGGGTAAATCCTGGATCTAGATCTAACAGCTGGACGAGCCCCCATTTAGTCACAAACTGGCTCAAAGTAAGTGACAAAGGACGGGTATCACACATGAAACAAGGTTTAAAGGAAGTTAATTTATTATCAAACTAAAGTTAAAACAATCATAATTATGTAAATCAGTCATGAATGCAATGTATGGATGGGTGTAGTGTAGTGTTGTGTTGTGTTGTAAAGTGCAAACAAAAGCAAACCAGTTGGTCACTTAGTCACTTATAAGCACAGTCCTGAGTCTTTATCAGACAGCCGGTAAAGAGGTGACACTGTTATTTAGGAGCTATATTTTAAAGCAATAGAGAAGTTTTAAATGTATTGTACAAATAGTTTTCATTTACAGGCGTGGCTGCTTTCTGTAAACAACTGTCAGCATAATATTTTTGAGTGCAACTACACACCAATCTAAGCCTCAGTAATATACTTAAAGTTTAAGCTATGTACATTTGTTTTTAAAGGTTTAGCATTAAATGTTTCATGGATTACACTGAACAAAGTGGGAATATCTTGGTGCCAACAAGCTCTGTCATCATCATGCAATCACTATTTGGCATTGCCAAAGCATTTCAGATTGGGGTCATTTATACTGTGCCACATAAGATATGTTTGAGCTGAAAGGAATTTATGAACAAGTAGAAGTTCTTTATAAAAGCAAGGGTCATATTTATCTGCACGTCTGGAGAGACTGTGAAGTCCGAATGGCTTCACACCCAAATGCATATCTGGACTAAGTCCTGCTTTGGCCAGGCACAATCCCATGTAGGCATCATCAATGGGAAGAAGGGCAATCGACTTGGACATTTTGTATATGACCAAAGCCGTGTAACCTGATAAGAAGAAGCCCCCACCACTACAGTAAGGGAGGTATGAGTCTAACTCATACAACTGGACTGGAACAAAATACTTGCTCCTTGAATCTCTAATGGGTGGCATACCTCTTATCAGACAGCCGGTAAAGAGGTGTTTGCTTCCATCATTGTCCTCTAGGCTTTGGAGATACTTGACCACATTGTTTGTGTTCACAAAGACATCATCATCACCATTTAACAGGAAACGTGCCTTAGGACAGTTTCTTTCCATCCATTCCAGAAAGAGTATCTGCTTCAAGGTGAGGTTGTAAAAAGTGTCCTTAAAGTCCCATTGAAGAATGTCATTGTGCTGACTTTGCTCCAACTTGAGAACTTTGTTTACTCTTTTCTTCTCAATGTCCAACCCCATTGATCCTATGATAAAGATACGTCTGATCCACACACTGTTTTGCAAACTCTCGTTTGCCCAGGTCTTGCGCAGGGTCTCTCTGCGGTCATGATTCTCCGGGGAGCTTTTGATGACTAAAAGAAGGAAGACTTCTGAGGATCCATCAGCTCCTCCACATTTGTCAGGAAGGTCCAGTAGCATTGGGAAATGTCGACAGTGTTGATAATAAAAATAGTCCTGCATGCGATCAGGAAGTAAGTGGAAATTTGTGATGTTGTCAACAGACATATTTTTTTCACAACTTGGCCAGGAAAATACATAGGAGGTATTTTGGATGAACGGTAATATTCGACTGCCATCCATTCCGGCATCTACATGGAGGATTTTGTAGTCAAGAAAATCTTTGTAGAGATAAAAAACCATGAGGAGACCTCCCAGAAGCAAAACAGTCCTCACTCTGTTGAATTGTCTTGGTAAAAATCTGTAGTGACAGAATGAAACAGCGCTTTATTGAACATAGATGGTTATAATATTTACAGACTATAGAAATGCAAGTGGAGGTGGAGTAACATTTTATGTTGAGAGCCAAACAATAGTAAGAGTTCTGAATGATAAGTATTATAGTAATCTGGCTTCAGGTTAATCTGCCTTGTCTCAGGCCAGTCGTAATTGGGTGCTGTTATAAACCACCAAATGCAAGAATATTGAATCTGGATCAAATTTGTGAAATGTTAGATAAAGTATGTGATACTGATAATGAGATCTACTTTCTAGGTGATTTGAATATTGATTAGAATTTAAAGTCTTGTTCATCAAGAAAAAAGCTCTCTGAGTGTTTTTAAAAGGAAAATAACATAATACAGCCTTGTGCAATGTTTTATTATTATGTTTTATTTTACTTCTATGTCTGATATTTATTTGGTCTTATCCAACTTTTTACTGATCTTAATTTATTGTATTGATTATTCATATTTCAGTTTTTTATTGTATCGATTTGTTTCTGAGTGGATTTTTATTTCATTCTTTATTTAATCATTTTATTACATTCTCACTTGTTCAAATGTTTTATAATTGTATCTATTGGCATCCATTTCTGTTGTTATTTCCTGCCTGTCCTTTTGCGAAGCACTTTTGGACTGCATGACTTTATGTATGAAAGTTGCTGGAGAAAAAAAGGGTTGTGTCGAGTTTTGCTGAGACTGGCACAGACCCAGCATCATCCAGAAATTTTACCCTCAGGAGAAATCTGCATGATTGTTACCACTATTAAAAAAATCATTTGGTTGGCATTTATTGCCTAAATTAATTTGGTGGTGGACATGTTTATGCTAATTTAAAATGTTTCTTTTTAATCAACTCACTTGCAACACAAGTGAACTTAAAATCATGTGTTTTTGTGGTGATTATTGTCTGACAGAAAGGATTTCATTTCTAAGAATATGGTCAAAGTACACCCTTTGCTGGTGATTCGCTAGAATGGTTTAGAGTGGCGTTTAATAACGTGTTGTCAACTTCTTGAGAGTCAGTCAGTCAACGCAGCCAGCACCTTGCTAGGAAAGCATGCAATCGCTCTGGAAATGGTCATAAGGAAGTCCTCCATGCTGCTGCCACTGCTCAAGACAAAGCAAGGCTTATGGGGTTAATATTCTCGCAAACTATTTGCAAATGGGTAAATAGATCCACAAATGCATCTTGCATATGCAATGTCGAGAACTCCAAATACGTAGTGCAATTTGTGAATGTGCATATATTTATTAATAGCTGAGAAGTCCAGGGGCCAGTTGTTTTTTCGGGGCGCTAAAACTATGCAAATGAGAGAACAAGACAGCATGGAATCCACAAAGTACCAAACTGTGCCCTTCCTATTTACAGCTCATAAGCCTTGTTGCGAATACCATTTCATCCACAACGACCAGTGCTATTGACACAGGCAGTTATAGTGGGGCTATTTATTGCAACTGAGACCTGTGTATTATTCGGTGCAATTTCTCCTCCTCCTCTGTCTTTTCTTTCTCTCTGCTTACTCAAAGAAACGTAAAACTACAATGCATTACATTCAGCTGAGGGGAAACTAATTATTATCATAATCAGTGCTTAAATCATTCCAGGGCTGCCATCGACTCGACATCCACATTTGTGGAAAGGTTTGGAGCTGTTACGCATGAGTTTCTCTTGCTTGCTCCATTCAGAGAAGACGCTTTGTTCTAAACAGTAAATGTAAGTTTTCATTTTTTTAAGTCCCTCCTCTCCTTGCTCATCATCTTTTTGTCCAAACAGAGCAAAGGTGCAGACGGCATTTTCTCCACATTAAGACGAAAAATAAGAGCAAACTGTGTAGAGCAGGACAACTTTGTGGGCATGTTAGCGTCTGCATATTCTTTATAGGATAGGGTACTAAGGGCAGATTGCAGGTGCTGTTTTTAGGGCTATTATCAGGCAATAACCATTCTTCTGGCACCAAGTTTTTTTTCTCCAAGAGCTGAAAATACAAATAAGTCATCTGTTTCAACTGAGATGGGACTCTCAATTGGTTGTCTGTTCCACAAATGTGTTTGTAAGAGTTTGTTTGCCCACAGCTCAGGCTTATGGGCTAACCGTGGCTTACTTTTGTCCGCCCAGCCCATTTAGTTGTTCAGTCTTGAACTCAGAAGTCATATAATTAAATTGATTGAAATCACTCATCTTTGGACTTTCTCTTTTTACATTGCAGATTGTGTCTGTATAAGTTGTAAAAAGCAGTCTTTTGGTTCTTAGGTGTTTATGAGTGTTTAAAAGCGATAAGAATTTACGGTACTAAAAGCTACATCAAAAGAAAGAAGTGAAGGGAAATTAAAAAGCTTTAAAGGGATTTTATATGCCAAACATGTATTTCTTCTTTCTTATTAAATGTTAAATGTACAGGCCAAAGTGTTTTGTGGTAAAGGCATGGATTATTCAGATTGTGGGAGATGAAACTGGTAATTCAAAGCTGCCTTAGAAGACTTTCATACAGAATTCATACAGACGTCGATAAGGATAAGACCTAATTGTATTTACCTCTTAATCAGCTTTCCTTAAAGTGAAAACAAAAAAACATTCTTACTATTTTCATCAATGAAAAAATCAGCAGATGCCAGTCATTTCAGTTTTTTCCCTACATAGTCAGAAACATGTAGCACACAAATAAATCATCCTTCAATCAATAATAATTACCTGAACATATTGGCAGATCAATGCCAGAGCTGGATTTGTCCCTCTGATAGTCAGCAGTCAATCTGTGCACGCTTCAGTAGGCACTGGATGCTTTGATATCAGTAATTCAAGTAGTTTCATGCAGAAGCCAGAACGATGAGCATTTAAGATAAAGTTTAGCACATGCTGTTGAGATAGGAGGTGGAAGTTGCTGGCAGGTAAAGATGAGAAAGCTGACTGAGAAGACAGGGCACGAAGGTAATCCAAATCTCAAACAGAGATTTACAACCATGAGGTCATCACAACGACGGCTTTAGTATTTGGTCTATGCCAATATTGGCTCTTCTTAAATGTAAACAGATCCACTTAGAGTTTAACTACACCCTTGATCGTTTTCTAGGACAGTATTTAGTTTGGAAATGGAAACTTATGTCTTTCCTCTTATGTTAAATAATTGTTTTGTTTTAAACTTTTGATATTTGATTACATTCCAGGAAACCCCCTTTATTCTCTAGATATCTGTCTGTTAATATTAAAGATACAATTAGGCAAAGGATTTCAGCAGAACTTTTATTCAATAACATGTTCAAATACAACAAAAACCTCTAATGCCAACACATCACTGCTTGATCCACCTTTAATAAGAAGATTAGAGAATCAAAGAGGTTATCTCTATGGCATAACACGGACGCCTTCAAATTAAAAAGAATCTTTGGATAACTTATTCTTAAGATACAACTTTTCTAGCCTACAGTCTTTGGCAGTTGGGTAGATTTGGCACCTCTTCCTCTTCCCTTGGCCCTCCTGTCTGAGGACCTCCTGTGGCCAGGATGGTGGCTGCGTTTAGTTTATTTAGCCCACAACTTCCTGTTCTAGGATATGCTTTTGGTGGTGAGGCTACGCTCTATGTGTCTCTTCATATGTGGCATGACAAGCTCTTTGTCCAGCTCCTGGACAAAGAGCTTGACAAGGTGTGGACCATCTGATCCTTCATTGTGTCCACTCCTCCTTTTGTTTTGTTGGAGTACTGGATCACTTCTGGTTCCTTCTTCACACTGTTGTTATCCTCTGCTTTGTCATCATGCATTGTGCTCAGGAGGACAACAGCCTTTCCCTTCTTGCCATTGAATCCAAATTCTGAGCTTTGTATCTCCCTTGATTAGGATGGCTTCATGGTAGGAGGTATGTCTATCTTGTTCTGGGGAAGAGTCCTCCACTATTGTCAGGTTCTTTTGCTTCTCAGCCAGAGGGACACTGGTGAAGAAGTTGTCAATTGTGATGTTGCAACCTGATTAAAAATAAGACAGAAAGGCAAGATAAATTTACTCAAGAATTCTTACTGTAAAATAAATTGAATGCATTATCTATTGTGTTGTATAGTATTGCATGCTTATGGAGGCCCTGAAGTCCCAAAAAGTATATATATATATATATATATATATATATATACTTGTGCGCACTAGATATTTATAATCAAACAATCAAATGTGGTAATTAAAAACAAGATATTTAATGAATACCTGGAATATAAATTATAAAAAAAAGATTATAGCAAAGAAACACTAAGCCATGCATGAAATCACATAGGGAATGAATACGGTTCATTTTCTACCCGTGTTGTGCATTAGAAGGGTACTGATACAAAAAAAATGGAAAATTTAAAAATAAGGATTCGTGATGATCAAAAACAAGTTAATTGAGGAATACTGAATGATGACATTAATTTATAGCAAAGATATAGAAAAAGAAAACCGTGAATCAAATGTTTAAAGTTCAAGGTTCATTTAATTTAGTTTAAGAAAAAACTAATGAAAAAAGATACATATTTAAAACTTAAAATAAAATAAAAAAATAATAATTTAATTAAACAGTAGAAACAGAGATTATGATTGAAATATGACATCCTTCTTGTGGTTGTTTTGTAGTATCTGGTTTATAAAGGCTCCTTTTATTCAAACAGGCTGTGTGTCGGCTGTAGCAAGCATCTTCTATAATCCCTTTTTTCATGAGTTTTGCCCTAGAGGTATATTATGCAACATTTTAAACACTCATTTAACAAAACTCAACTATATCCTAACATAAATCATATTATTAGTTAGTTGAGTTGAGTAAAAAAAAAATTAAAGAAAAAAGGCCCATGGGTGTGTTGTGCTCAGCTCAGTGTTCCCACTGATGGGATGGGGCTTCCTTCAACTTGTTTATGTTTCAAATATGTTTCATAAATGATTTTTAATGTGAACCTCTCCCTGTCCACACGCTAACCCTACCTCAATGCCGGGTACCTAGAAACACTGAGGCACGAAGACCAAGTTTTTTTTTTTTGGCTACATATCAGAATGGAGACAGGGAGGAGCAAGAGAGGGGGTGCACCGCAAAACATATTGGCAAATAGGATTACTTGGTTATTACAGTTATCATTCTGCGCATGCAGGTTACAATAATGACAATAAAGTTATTTATTGCCCTGGGTACTTCCTCTCAAGGGGAAGTTATGCATTGGTAGATTACCATTCCAAACAAGCTCTTTCTTATTCAAACAGTTTAATGTACAGGACAACATTTTGACCCCTTTTTTTGGGGTAAACTAAATAATGGGTTATTCAGATGTGCAAAAAAAAAAAAACATTCTTACTATTGTCATCAATTTTGTTATGCTCAAGTAAGCAGAGGCCAATCAGTTCAGTTGACAGAGTCAGACAGTAGCATGTAGCATACAAAGAAATCAGCCTTCAATAAATGACAATTAAAAAAAACACAAACGAGGAGCACTCTTGACAGTTAAACACAGTAAAAGGTGCACGGCCGTAACAAGACTAGAAAGAACAAAAAGTCAGCACACAAATGTCCTTCATCAGAGCTGATGTAGGCCTGATGAAGACGCCGAAACGCGTCTGTTGCTGCTGTTGTTGTTGCTGCCGGATAAAAGAAACCTAAAGACATGAATGTATAACAGCCATAATGATTAAAACATATTTCACTGTAATTGAAAATGACAACAACATTCTGGAACTTTTGGGGATCATCATATAACCATGCATAACCTTTACAACTATTAAATGGGGTGGCAGTAGCTCACTTGGGTTGGGAACCAGAGGGTCGCCGGCTCAAGTAAATTGTAAATGTAAATTAAGTCTGGAAATTGGTCTGGTATTTGGAGAGGCGCCAGTTCACTTCCTGGCACCTGAATTGTTTTTTTTTTTGCTTCTAAAAGTTCCCCACTATCGGCTAACTTGGCCAGGTCTCGCCTGTAAACAAGCTTTTATTTTTTTTTTATCTCAAAGAGACTTTCTGATTAAATAAAGGTAACATAATATAGCTTATATATATATATCTTTAAAACTTCATTTTCCAAAAATACTATGATGTATGATTACTATTACAGGCTTATCACTGGTGATCTATTTCTTTGTGTTGAAAGATCAGATAAATGGCTTCTTGCACAGTAAGTCTTGCAGTCACAAACTCAGGCACTAAATGGAAGCATAGTTTTCTAATCTTATGGCCCTCCAACATCTATTTTGTTATCAAAGTAAGCCCAGGATTAATGGATTCTCATATGTTTGATAGGATCATTTCGTTAAAAATGGTAGCTCAAAGCTTGATCCATAGGCAACTGGACTGGTTGAAGATCTGGAAGGCATTTCACCTCTTCTCCCAAAGGCTTCTTCAATTCTAAACTTTCTGGTGGATGGAACTAGAAATGAAGCCTCTGACTCACATCAGAGTTGTTAGCTGAGTCGTTCACCTAGTTTCGCCTAGAGTCGTTACCACCCCCAGTCGTCTTTGTCATGTTTCAAGGGGGGAATGGGGCTTCAGTTGTTTAGGGAGATAATTCAAAACAGCATTGTAAATTGGTGAAAGATGGTATCCCAGCCCACCACCTCGGTTAAGGGATGGTGATGTCTTCAACCAGTCCGGTTGCCTTTGGATCAAGCTTTGAATTTACCATGACCTGGATGACTGAGCTCCTCATGAATGTTTCAAAGTACCCTCTGACCACTGTGACTTCTGTTCTGTGCATCTCTTCCACAGTCAGTTTGTCATTTCAGTGCAATCGCTGCGACCCTCCTCCGCCCCAGTCACCTCCATTGCAGCTAGGAGGGGTCCGGATACAGCCTCAGAAACCCACTCCTCATCTCATCCTGCATTCTTTCATCACCACCATCACCAGTGTCTAGACTCTATCCTATCCTGCTGTCGGCCTCATTACCCCGTCGTTATGATGGAGTCCAATTAATAAATTTTTATCTTATAATACTCCTGATTATTTTAAAACAATAGTAAGAATGATATGGTAGATTAATTAAACTCTTGTTTTGTAAATGTTGGCACAAATATACCAATCAAATGTTATAAAAATCTAATTCATCAGATACCGATAGATCTTACTTCGGTAGTAAAGTCTCATAGATCTGTTTATAATAAAGAAAACAATTCACTGCATTTGCAAGCATTTAACTGATAATACAGCTCTTCAGACTGGCATATTCCAAGACAGGATGAACATTTTAAAAGTTATTCCCTTGAATAAAACAGGTGATGTTCACAATGTTACCACGTATAGGCCAAAGATCTCTGCTCTCTCCCCTCTGCAACTTTCAAATTTCACTACAAAAACTACATAGTGCACCTTTAAACATGAAGTGAGTCATTGACTGACGTTATCCGACCTGTAATTAAAGGATCCTGTTGGTATTCTGGAACCTGTCAGAGAGCATTGTTGGGACTTCATCAATCAGCAGAATCATTGTTGAAACAGAGCTGTGATGCAAGTTTAGTGTAACTGAACTTGAAGTGCGTCATCCTAATCATCGTAGTGGGGGAAAAAGTGGGGCTGACTACCCAGGGCCCTAGTGGGGAGGGGGGCCCTTCACGGGCCTGAAATAAAAATGTATTTCTTATTTTGCTTTTTTCTCTAAGTTATAAACGCAATAAGATAATTAGAATTGTCTGAATAAATAAACAAACATTGAGAATTCCTTTCTGGAAAAAATGTGAAGTCTCTCTAAAAGGCCCTCTCCCCCCCTTCTGAATGTGCAGAACGGTTTAGTCCTCCCACCACCTCTCACCTGGATTGATTTGTCAGCGGTCAGTCGAGTCAAGAGAGATGTGGCAGGCTGCAGATTAAACCAGTCGTTAGAGGAATTCAGCCAAGAATATCGTTTGGATCATATCTGTGTTTTATGTATAAATATATATTATTAAACGCCTTCATAGATACGATTTCATACAACCTTATTTTATAAAAATATTACATCACGGTCAAAAAGAGTCCAATTTGGAGCTATATTTAGCGTCTTTCCCAGCGAGCTACAGTAACATATTTGATATCAACAGATTCAGAGTAGTTCATATGATATCAATGCTGTCGCGCTAGCATTAAAACTGAGACCGCTACTTCTGCCCAAAAAACAACATTTTGAACGTTAGGTGAGACAAATTATAATGCAGTGTAAGAAGAATTAAAGTGAAGTCAGAACTGAGAAGAACTATGACAGCCTAATTTTAAAGTCATGCTGACAAGTGTGGCAGAATCTAATTCAGATGTATTGTATGTTTACAGTTTATCATTAATGCCAGTAGAATTTTTAATTCAATAATCTTACCAATAAGATCACTTTATACAATACAAGCCTTTAGAACATTAACTATAGGAATTGAATAAGTAAAATAATGTTGCAGGGAATGTTTCAACTGTCTGAAAGGTGCATATATTACAAAGTTGAAATTATGTTTAAACTATCAGGAAATATTACAGTGGTTATTTATCTCCCATTTTCAGGGTGTAAAACAAAGCGTAGTTGTTTAAAGCTTTTATTGGTCATTTGTGTGATGGAGGTGTTGTTGTAGAAATTCTCTGGGTTTAGTTTGGGCCATGGTAGGGGCCCTATGTGAGATCTTTTCATGGGGCCTGGAGTTCCTGGCGACGCCCCTGCTAATCATCCCAAAGTGATTACCATAAAAACACATGAAGGAAAAATACAACAAGAAAATGTTTTTTTTGTTAAAACCCCTAAAGGAGCAGTCTTATCAAACAACAGGGGAGATGATTTTGCTTGACAGAGGGTATTTAAATATGAAGCCCTTCATCAACAATGTTATCAGTCCTGTAATTAAAGGATCCTCTCGGCACTCTTGAACCTGTCAGAGAGCATTTTTGGGATTTCATCAATCAGCAGAATCATTATTGAAACAGAGTTGTCTTGCAAGGTCAGTGTAGCTGTGTGCTGCTAGAGTTTTTAAACCTAAAATGCTCTTCAGTGAGCAGAAATGAAAATCATACTTGATACTAGTACTTTTATAACAACATACCTACTGTATTATTGTGCTTTTTTCACATCTACACGAAAAATTAACCACAGCTATAAAATAAATCAAATAGAAATAGATTTAAAAAATAAACTTGAGATTGAACTCTTCAAAATTAAAATAATTCTGAAATAGTTTTTTTTTTTTAGATTCATTTTATGGGCTTTTCTGACTTGTGATAAGAGAGAAGGGAATGACATGCAGGTAAGGAGGGACAGGTTGGATTCAAACTCAGGCCTGCATTGTGGACTCCCGCCTCTGTACATGGGGGGTGCAAACTAACCACTTGGCCACTTGTAACAGTTGAAATTGTGGAATATACCTTCAAGACTGTGTTGCTAAGTTAGGATAGTGACATCACTAGATGTGGTTTGAGCGGTGCTTCTGCCATGGATGGATGCCTGTAACCGAGCTCATACTTCCCTTTTACCTCTCAACCTAACAAATACATGAGAGTTTTTTTGGACACAATTTTGCTTGTGTATGATAAAATAGTAGCTGTACAAACAGGCTTTGTAAGGTTGATGTGTAGTTTGTAATAAATGACAAGCATTTTGGAAACCTCGGACACGTGTGGTTGTGCACTTTTGGCTAACTTATTGTCTCCAACTCTCAGTAACACCACTAACCAAGAGACACTGAGCCAAACCGTAACACACTGGTGCCTCCTGAAATACATTTGCCCCCTATGGACAGCTTGCACACTTAGCAATTGCCTATTTGCTATATGCCATGGGCCAGCCCTGCTAAAGCCCTTAATGAGTAAATCATTCAACAAGAATAGCATTTGCAGCATTTGTATTTAAACCTTTTCAGTTTTCATCTTAATTTACCTCACACATTTACGCCACCATAAGTTTTTGCCAACCAGCTCCATTAGTTCCTTGTTAAATCATTCAAAGAAAATAACGTTTTTGATCACTTCTGCCTACTTAGGCTAGTAAAAAGACTATCACTTCATCCAGTGTTTCCTTTGGAGTAACTAGGGTTTAACTAGTTAACAACAAGTGGGCTAAATAGCCAGCTTTCTACGACTGAATTGACTTTAAAAAAAGTTATATAGGCTGTATGGCCTATATACAAATAGACTATATGAAGAATATGTTAATTCTAAGAACTCAAGTGTATATATATCACTGTATTTCTGTTCATTAAAATCAAACAATTGATTGCAAAACAATTTTTTAATTTTAACAATTGATTCAATAGCAGAAAAAATGATTAATATGTGCCATTTTTTTAAAAGCAGTGGGTTGGTTCAGAGCATCATCTTATTAAATCATACATAAGTTGTAAAATATGAGACAGAATTAATTAAGAATAACTATAAAATGTTTTATATATATATATATATATATATATATATATATGTTATACCTTTGTACAAAGAGAGCACAGTTTACCAAAGTAAAATTCCTTGTGTGTTACTTGAAATTAAAGGATCCTGTTGCCCCTAAAGGAGCAGTTTAATCAAACAGCAGGGAAAAGATATGATTCAGATTGAAAACCGACCTCCTTATGGTTGTACTGTTGTATCCAGTTTATAAAAGAAGGCAACCACCAAATTTCATTTTTTTTTTTTTTTGTGTGACAGTGAGTGGGTATTTAGAGGTGCACTATGTAGTTTTGGAAGAGAAATGTGAAAGTTTGAGATTCTGAGGTATATGTTCATAACTCTATACAAACTCTCAGAGGAAAATGTGGTCCCTGGAACACTGTTTCAAGATAAAATGATACGTGAGAAGTTGTAGTGGTGGGCCCGCAACAGTGAAACCGAAACTCTCCTGGTACTCTTTTAGCTCCAAACTGTTCCAGTGACCAATTTTTACTTTGAGTAAACTTTGTGTATTCAGTTCAAGAAAATTTTGCGTTTCATTGTTTCACTTCTCCAACTTTCAAATTTCACTACAAAAACTACATAGTGCACCTTTAAACATGAAATGAGTCATGACTGACGTTATCCGACCTGTAATTAAAGGATCCTGTTGGCATTTTGGAACCTGTCAGAGAGCATTGTTGGGACTTCATCAATCAGCAGAATCATTGTTGAAACAGAGCTGTCTTGCAGGTTTAGTGGGAACATGTCAGACCACATTATTGTGAGTGGTTAGCAATAACTTGAATTACAGTAAACTGAGCTTAATATTCTAATTAACATTTTATTTATCCACCATTTGTTACGGATGGTTGGAAAAACAAAGGAGGTGGACCCAAGTGCAGAAACCAAAAATATTTAATTAAACAAAAAGGCCAAAGGCAACAAAACTTAATTTCAAAAGTTCAACAAAAAACACAGGTATCGAAAACAGGGAGCCACAGAGGAGCACGAGCAAAACTGACATTCATACAACATACAACATACAATGAACTGACACAGAAGGGCAGAAACACAGAGACTAAATAGACACAGGGGTAATCAAACACAGGTGAGACTAATGACACAGGTGAAGACAATGAGGGCAATCACACTGGAGGGAAACACACAGAGGAAGGAATGGACACAACACTGAGGACAACTACAAAATAAAATACATGAAACACTGAAGACACACAGAACTCAAGAATGAAACAAAACACACTAGAACATAAAGAAACACTAGGATATGAAGTTACAAAAATAACACATGAAACACTAACCTAGAAAACACACAAGGGAAACAACACCATCAGACAAGAATGAGAACTAAAAACAACAAGAAAACAAGAAAACTCTGAAAATAAGAAACCAAATCATGACACCATTTTTCCCTACATATGTCTCCCATTTGTGTGTTTTTGCCATTTTTACTCTGTGTTATTTTTTGAAGTTTTATTGTGTTTCTATACAGTATATAGTCATGCTTGATCAGAAAAAAGGTGTGTTTTTAATTTGACTATGCGCTTAACCTCAGAAATGAACCGCCATTTTATTAAACAATTAAAAATCACAATTTTACTGTGAATGGTTAACAACATACCATTACAGTTATATTCTGTAATTTAGTCAAATGTGTCAAATATGTTAAATAATTTGGCACCAGTGAGTATTTCAATGGTATTTCATCGTATTAAATAACAACACAGCAATTTAACATGCTGCATCAATGTAGGTGGCAGAATTCTGCAAAGACATGTCAACATAATGTAGTCTCGTGCAACAATACTCCAATCTAAGACCCAGTAATGAACTAAGCAGTGACACTCTGTCATAACTTGTTAGTCACTATTAGCAAAGCATTTCAGTTTGGGGTCATTTATTCTGTGCCACATAAGGAACAATTCTGCTATATTGAACCTGTGAACCAGTAGAATTTCCCTAAAAAAGCAAGGGTCATACTTATCTATATTTTTGGAGGGTATATACAGTCCTGCAGTCTTTACACCGATATGTGAAACAGGACTTAGTCCTGCTTTGGCCAGGCACATTCCCATGTAAACATCATCAATGGGAAGTAGGGCAGTAGACTTGGACATGTTGTATATGACCAAAGCTGTGTAACCAGATAAAAAGAAGCCCCCACCACCACAGTATGGGGGATATGAGTCTGATTCCTGCAACTGAACTGGAACAAAATACTTGCTCCATGGTATTCTAATTGGCCCAACATACTGGATCAAATGTCCAGTAAAGAGGTGCTTGCTTCCATCATTGTCCTCAAGGCTTTGGAGATACTTGACCACATTGTTTGTGTTTACAAAGACGTCATCATCACCATTGAATAAGAAATGTACATTTGGACAATTTCTTTCCATCCATTCCAGAAAGAGTATCTGCTTCAAGGTGAGGTTGTAAAATGTATCACTGAAGTCCCATTGAAGAATGTCATTGTGCTCACTTTGCTCCAACTTGAGAACTTTGTTCAGTCTTTCCTTCTCAAAATCAGAACCTGTTGTTCCTGAGATGAAGATACGTCTGGTCCACACACCGTTCTTAAATCTCTCATTTGCCCAGGTCTTGCGCAGTATCTCTCTGCGGTCGTGGTTATATGGAGGGCTTTTGATTACCAGCAGAAGAAAGACTTCTGAGGATTGATCAGCTCCTCCACATTTGTCAGGAAGGTCCAGTAGTATGGGAAAATGTCTACAATGTTGATAATATAAAAAGTCTTTTATATGACCAGGAAGTGAGCTGAAGCTTGTGATGTTGTTAGCAGTCATGTTTTGTTTACAATTTGGCCAGGAGAATACATTGGAGGTATTCAGGGTGTCTGGTGATATTTGTCTGACATCCATTCTGAGGTTTGTGTGGTCCAAAGACTCTTTGTAGAGATAGAAAACCAAGAAAAGACCTCCAAGCAGCAAGGCAGTCCTCGCACTGAGGCTTTGTCTCCGTAAAAACCTGTAGCGACAAAACAGTAAAGTTTCTAGCCAGCTTATCTCATTATAAAGGTGAGAGGTAAATGAATGAGCAGTTTGTCAACGCCAAACAAGCCTATTAATGTTTTCTGAATTATCTAAATCTATTGGGATTTTTAAACAACTATATCAATGCAATTGTTATGCATGCTTGGGAAGGACAGGCAGAAATCATGTCAAGTGTTTAATGTGCAGTCATGGCTTCAAAGATATATTATAATTTATAATTCTAGAAAATTATTTAATGTATTAATTCTTTATTTTTAATTTATTACAAATAATTGGAAAACAAATATAAATGAGTTTATTTACTGTGAATAATAAGAAAATGAACAAGGATACTTGAACTATTTTGTTTCATTCCTGCCTTCAAGAACAACCTCATTTGGTCACCATAGGTCATTTCTCTTCCACTAATAACATCTGTGGTGTACAACAAGGTTCAGTTTTAGGTCCAATTTAATTCTATAACCACATGCTACCACTTGGTCATATTAACGAGTGCCCCAACATATTGCTTTGCAAATAATACAGTAAACCATTCTTTGAGACCTGTTGACCCTTAGGCCTATAACTTCTGTCAGTTGAATTTTACATACATTTCTGCAACTCAATAAATCAAATTCAGTGTTTATATTGTTCAGTCCACATACGTAAATCAGTCTTAATGAGAGTTGCAGAATGTTAAGTCAGCAGCCAGATAATTAGATCTACTGTTTGATCGTCAACTTCATTTTGAAATACCCATTTGTACAGTCACGCTTTTTCCTATAAATTCCTCCTATCCTGCAATATGCAAATAAGCACTTAACTAGTCCAGAGTGCAACAGCTAGGCTTCTTGTCTGGGTCTGGCTACAAGCTACATATCAACATTTTTGACTTAAAAGTCAGCTCACAGGCTCATCGGTGGGGCCCTATGGCTAAGTACGACATTAACACTTGCTCAACCTGTTTGTTAGCATTCTGTGGTATTCAGTGGAGGATTTATTTTGTTAGTGTGTGTCTCTGTGTTTTAAAGTGTTTTAATTAAGAACTACCAGTAAACATTACTTGTAATCAGCACCCAAAAAAGCTGGTGATTAGTCTGAATTCTACAATATTGCTATATTTTTCAGACAAAATTATGACTAATCACTCAGACGTAAAGGCTTGGCAATGTTTTAATATATTGCTCTTGGCTAATGTTGTTTCCCTTTATCAATCACAAAATAATTAATTCAATTGTAATGTACCTACAGAAAATGTCAATAAGCTCAACCTCTTTAAAAGCACATTAAAATTGTTGTAAAAAGAGTTATCATTTGATCACATGTAACGTTATGATTAAAATAACTTTAAATAAACCTTCATTCAATCATGATATTTTTGTGTTTCTATAAATAGAAAAATGAAACACAACAACAAGACAATCTTCATTCAATGATAATTACCTTAACATTTTGGCAGATCAATGTGGGCGTTTGATAGTCTCTCTCTGCGTCAACAGTCAGATATCTGTGCAGGCTGCTACTGGTTTGAGTGTTTGACAGGGTTTGGCAGGTTTCTCAGAGTCGCCTCTTGCCCTGAGTGCTGCCTTATCCAAGAGAGTCTGGCTGCAGACCGCCACTGTCAGCTCCAAGAGAGTCTGCTTTTAGACAGAATACAGGAAGAATGCACTCTCCCACCAATAGTTTAATGTATGAACTATAACATTGATATTGATATATATAACTGCAATTTTGCACAGATTATTGAGATTATAAGAGTTGATGGTTGCTGATAAAAACTGTCCAGAGGACAGTTTAAGAAGGTAAACAGAGACTCACTGATAGACTTTAATTCTTATGTGTGTTGATAAAGGTAAGGGCTTTTTACAGGTATCCCTCAATTGGCTTTTAAAGTGATAAAAAATATTCTCACTGTTTCAATTAAATCGTTGATCATTGAGTTCGTAATAATAATAATAATAATAATAATAATACATTGTTTTTTTATATACGCTTTGACAAAATATAAAACCATAAAACAAAACAAAAAACGACGAGGACAGTACAATGAAGAAGAAATGTAGGGGGGTAGGTGGGGGAGTTAGTGGTTGTAGGCAGTGATGAAGAGGTGAGTTTTGAGGGATTTCTTGAAGGAGGTGAATGTGGGGGAGTCTATGATGTTTTTGGGGAGTTCTTGTTGGCTCTAAACAGAATAACTTGGCTGTAATAACTTGCTTACATATCAAGAGTTAAGAGACATTGTCAAGTTTACTTTTGTGAATTAGGGACAAGTTTAGAAGGAAATATAAAGCAGTCTGTTTATTTTATTGCAAGTGAAACTGAATTCTTCTTTGTATAATGTTGGATTTTTGTTCAAATAAATCACTGCATATTGCCATCATGTCTACCTTACAAATAACAAACAAAAAAATCTATATAAAATGTAAAACAATCATTTCAGATAGGGGCTAAACCATACCTCAGAAGATATATTGCTTCGTATGTCAAAGACTACTTTCATTTTTATGGTTTGATTCCAACCGGTGCACATCACAGCACATCAGGCAAATCATGTCTTTGTTTACTGGCACTGCCCATCACATCTACTTAACAATTATGCAATAAATGAGCATAGTGAGTGATTAGGGAACTTCGCTCTGTGACAAAGTTTGTCTTCACATGCTGGCTCCAGTCCAGACCTTTGCATCAGTCAAATGACCCTTTCCATTGCTGTCATTATACATCAACTCAACCTGACAAATATGCATTACTTCGATAAATTCTAATCTTAACTATAACCGCAAAAGATGGTTAGACTATAGCTTTAGGAATTTATAGATGACTCTGGTTAAATTCTAACCAGAGTCAAATCATTATTCTAATAACCCATTCTGTTACTGTCCTTATCCATCTCATCCAACATACAGTACGGCAATATTAAGATCAATTCTTAACTTTAAACATTTTGATTTTGAACTGCAGTTATTTAATTTACTAAAAAGAAGAAATTTCAACAAACAAGCATTACAAGGACGCAGGTTAATGTGGTGGTTAACACCACAGCCTCGAATTGAGATGCTACTGGGTGAGCATCCCTGCTGGAGCCTTCCAGTGTGGAACCAGACAGTTCTGCCTCTCTCCCATTGGGTCTGGAAAATGATCAGAATCAGAATTTAACAGTAAGAAAATAAATCAAAACAAGCTAGCCATATACAGCAACACGTTGGTCGTGAGCAGAGGTATTAAATTAGAATTAAAAGGGGTCCAGTTCCAGAAAATGTCCTCTCGCGAAGGTCCGGAGCATCATATTGTCTAACTTGTGATCTGATTCATTGCCATAAATTCAGAAAAAACCCAGTAGTCTAGTCACATCAAATAAAGGAAATTTGATTCAATGTTAATTATAAAGTGGAAGGTACTCTGATAATAAAACGATGAAAAACAAAATAATAATCTGCCTAATGAAAAAGGAAATGTAATATTTTCTAAGTAAAAGATGGTAGTATTTAAAACCAAAAACATACAGACAGCTTGTGCAAAAAGGCACATCAAATTAAAAAGGCTTAATTTTGGAAGTTGTTAATTGCCTTATAGGCTTTCCAGTTGGCTTCTGGTGAAATAACTATATTTTATGTAATTAGTGGTACAAAGACTTCACTTCAAAGCCTCATTATTTATATTTAAAGAGTTTGTATTTTTGGCTATTTCAAGTCACTGTATCAATTAAATTAGTAATATAAAATAATAAAAATGACTAACTTAACCGCAGAATTGAACATTCTGAGGCATTACTGTGGTACAACACTGCCTCTCTTCTCTGCTGTTTACATTACTTGCTGCTATTTATTTATCATACCAAGTCACTTTAATCATCACTTGTCACTTTATCTTGTCATTATCTTGTCATTCTCTTCAAATACTGTCTCAATTCTCAATTCCCCCCAGTTAACTTCAACATTCATTTTTGTACTGTATATACCCCCTGTTTTTATTTTTATTTTTATTTATCTTATCTATTCTGTTTAATGTGTATTTGAGCTTTCTTGTCTGTGCTGCTGTAACGCCCGAATTTCCCCTCTGGGGATCAATAAAGTACTATCCTATCCTAAGCACAACCTGGTACAAAACAACTGTTTCAGTTTGGTTTTTGTTTTAACCTGTTTTTGCTTGCCCATGGAGATGAGTGGGCAAAGAATCTGCTACTTTTCACAAGCTTTCCTGATTTCTTTAATCAAAGAAACATCTACTGGTTCATCCTCAGGCAATTAATTAGCCACAGGCACAGACTGCTATCTTATGATAACTTATGTTAAGCAGTTTGTTGCTTGTCATATACTCACAAGCCAACATGGCGAATGCTGAAAGACAAAAAAACAAAAAGGAAAACGTAATTTAGCATGTGGTATTTGATAACTTTTGGACAACATATCTTATTCTTTTCGTACAAATGAATAAGGTACATTAATCAGGCTTTACACAATCAAATGTTTGTTTCAGGGCTGTCAGCATTGACTAGGTAATTGCAATTAAAGGGATACTTCATCCGTTGAAACATGAATCTGTATTGACATTGGCTCATATATGTAGTAGAAATGTGAAATAAATTTTGAAGTTGGTGCCTTCTTGGCCGTGAAAATGCAGAAAGTGTCTTTTTGGCTCATGTGGATGAAAGACACCAAATCCCAGAATGCACAGCACCGCGGCCCACTCACAGAATCAGAAATACATTATTAATCCCAGAGGGAAATTCGATCATTACAGTTTCTCCAAAATAAACAGGTCATTTCCTCAACAGATTTGAGGAATTTAATTGGCATCTTGGAAATTCCTGGCAGGAAACAGACTCTATGTCTGTGTCCATAGGCCGACAGGCAGGCATCATGTCTCTGCTGCTGAGCTGGCAGCGGCCTGCGGTGGCCAGCAATATAGCAATACAGCTGCGAGATGGTTGCTACTGACAGGCCGGTCTTGTGTCGCGGTGGCGGCCCCGGCGGCTAGCGGCGGCTTTCTCCATGGAGCCTGTTAGCATAGCTTCCAAGCAATATGGCGTATGTTAAGTTTCGATTCTGGGAGTTTGTTCCCACCCACTGATCTGTGATTGGTCTGTAGCTTCAGTGGTCAAAGCTAAAGTTGTAGTTTCACCCCGCTAACCACTACAACTTCCGATGACACAAAATGACGATTTTTGCGTCACTGGAAACTCCTTTTCAGACTTAGAAATACAAAGATTTCCTGTCTCAGGGGAAAATGAGGGCGGTATGCACGACCATTCAAAAATACTAGCAGGTTTCTAATGATACAAAGCTTAATGCAAATGGGTGAAGTATCCCTTTAATTATGGTCTAAAATTAATGCATTTATCTTTTTATCACATGCCATTTTGTCCCTTTAGGCACATCATGGATGAGCCTCTGCAGTGTCCCCCTGTAGTCATAATGGTGTAAAAGAACAACACTGTTGCATCTTTGAATGTTTCATTTAAAAAAAAAAAAAAAAACTCAGACAGCTCAGGTGACAATTCAAAATATATCCACCTTTTGACATCAAAAATGTACCTTTGTTACCATTCCTTTTAGCTGTTTTCATTTAGTTTTTGATCCGTATTAAGTATATTTTTCCGCAGTTAAGTTAATGTCGTAACCTTCAACCAGAATGTCCTTTCTTTATTTCAAAAACATAAAACAGGGTTGAATCCAAACAGCCAGTAAAGCACTCTCAGCTTACGACAGTACAAAAATTCAAAATATATCACAAATAAAAATATTCATTTGAGAGCCCAAATTTGTTTCATTTTGGAAAAAAGGGTGTTGAATATTTGTGAGGTACATCTTTCTTTTCTCTTCTTTTTTATTCCAGCGAAACACAAATAATTGCCATATAAGATGATGCTGTTCGAAAGCAAAGTACTTAAGCAGTGCCTTTCCTACTCAGTGGTGCAGTGTGACCTCGTTCATTGTGGATGTTGCACTCTCAATGTCACTCTGACTTGTGCTTGGAGGAGACAAACATCCTTCTGGGAGAGATTGTTAATTGAGCTAGAAAATGATTGAAGGAGGATTACTTGGTCTCTGCCTGCTACTAAAAAAGTCATTCAAATAAAAACATCTCTGAGCTCACATAATTACTTTCCCAGTTACTGGCTCAACATCATTCTTAACCGTATGTTGATCAGAATCTTGTGCAGTGATAATTAAGGTAGATGAGTTTGAATGGTAAGATATTTTTCAAAGGTATTTAAGCAGCAACTGAGATGGCACATGCTCTGGTGAGGAGAATGAAACAAGTGCAGCAGTAAAAGCAAAACTAAGGCATTTATTTGATTCATTGTCAGCTGAGCCTACATGCATTGAATTAGCAAAGGGGTTTTAAAAGATAAATAAAATGCTTTCCTTCAAGTCCTGGTGGTAAAGCAGCTCTGTAAAGGAGGAAGGAACCTTGTGTTTAATACATTCTAAAGACATAAACGTGTACACTCACAGGTCTGTGGCTGTAGATCAGCATATCATGGCAAATATTTAAATCTCTGTTCCGCCAAAATTGCCAATCGCCAAAAAGAAAGGAAGAGACTGGAAAATCAAGATTACTTTTGCAACTGGAGTGAGTACAAATATTATGTTTAAGGTCAAGACACAACCTAAACAGAGTTTGGAAACTATATGTCTTCACACTCCTGACCTTACTCCTATCAGTTCATGTCAAAAGTAGAAAACTTGGAATGAAGTTGCCTGTTTGTGAGACTTTTTTCAAACTGTAACTGGTACTGTCAAAACAAACCTTGAAGCTTCATCATAGATTTAAACTTCTATTTTGTAACACACTTTGCATTCACTCAGCTCAAAGCACAACTCGTTGACTCAGCTCAAATATTGAACGGTAACATTTTGTTTTTTCGCTTACAGAAAAATAGTGAAATCTAAACTTTTACTTTTAAGATAGATCTGCATTGTAGACGTATTCAATCAATTCTTCCCTTATTGTAAAAGTAAAACTTCTTCAGGTATGGAGCAAACCAATAAGTCTCTTCTGTGCGCTCTGACCACGGCCGGAACTCAGAAGCAGAAAAGGTTAACACTGTATTTCCAATCATACAGGATTTTCCCGATATAACATACTGCAATAGAGTGGGAAAAAATAATTTAAACAAAAAGGCAAAGAAAAGATGAGGCTACAGCTGGTGGGGTTTCGGAGGCCTCCTGGGACTGGCACAATCGGCCCGGTGGATAATCTGTGCTTGGGTATGTGAGATATAAATAAAAGCTGCAGTTCGTACTACATGAAAGTTACCAAGTGTGACCATAGCAATTTGTGCACGTTCTAGTTCATCGATCACAGTGCAAACTATTTGCACTTTTAGTTAGTTGCCACAAGGCTTAAAATGTAAAGTATCACACGCTTGAGTTTCTGAAAAAAATACATGAACAGACAAGACACTAATTTCAGATTCTCCATGATTCAAGGAATTTAAAGTACTAACATGGAAACGTTAACATGTTTTCATGCTAACCTAAAATGGTGAACATTGTAATGACAGACTTGAGTCCCATTTTCTTTTGCATTGTACAAAATATGATGATTTAAGAGAATTATTGTTTCATGAAGTAAAATCTGAAATATTGGGGCGGACAGATGTGCAGAAACTGGAATGGCTGTTTAAGTTTAATGTGTTTAAACTTGCTAATTTTGTTTCAAAAGCTTGGAAAAGAAGACAGGATATTCTGTTTAATTAGTATGACTTGCTTTTGCTTTCTCTTTTTGTTTCTTGACAATGAATATAGCTTACCTAGTGCACTCTGATCCGGGAACGTTTTAATTTATGGTGTCATGTAAGCCCATGCGGGCTGGGCGTATGGATGTATGTATGACACAATGATAAAATTAAAAACTAACACTAAAACTGTAAACTTGAAATTACCATGTTACAGCATGTTAGCATGTTTACATTAGCATTCTACTCAAAACTGTACCTCAGTAAACTTGGAGTTATGTACTCCATGAAAAAGGTCTGCTAACATAGTGAGGTTACATGTCTCACAAAAACCTGCTTCTGAGTTGTGTGTGTATTTCCATTCTATCATTCTGCTTTGCAAAGTTCTACTTTTTGATTTTTTTATAATAATAATTTTGACATTCAAGATTGTTTATATCTATTAAGTATTAATTAGAATCCATATGCATTTTTGAATATATTACACTTCAGCAGACATAGACCATGACAAGTTAATCATATCTTCTAATTAGAAAATTAGTGATGAACTCATTTCCTGCTGGAGACGAGTAGATATGTGGACAAACACAAGCACTTATGGCACATTTGAGCCTTTTATTACATTGCATCATTTTATAAGAAGAGAGTCCAGTGTGGAGAGACTGGCAGGACCTATCAAAATCCAGAACAGATGATATATACTTCTAATGTAGAAATAAATGATACACCATTCTTTCCTCTAATTAATCAAGGAAAAATACAGGCTTTTTGTCCTTCATTGAACTCTAAATACACAAGCAAGCATACCACAGACACACATCACCTTGTTAAAAGAAAATGGTGGCAGAGATCGCAGTTTGTACGCCATGTTGTGAAGGATTCTTTTTAATTTATGCCAGTTTATCTGGATTCAATCAAAAGGGGGAAAACAGGTATCAACAACAAAAATCTCCATGAGGGCATATAATAGTATCTAGGAGGTGACAGACAGGAATGAGAGAAAAAAAATAACTTTTGGATTATTTTCTGTGTTTTGACTGGCACACAGGTGCTCCCATGAGATGCTGGATCATAAAGAACAATCAAGGCCTTCAGAGTCTGCACCTGTAATGTAACATTTTTTTGGATAGATTTCATTAGATATAGACTGTATAACTTAATTTGGTTATTCCAGTGTATTATTCCCTGCTCAGCCATTCTTTTTGTTTGAACCTATACGTGTTAAGGCCAATTATTGCATAATAAGTTTTAACACAGCCCTGATTGTTGTATATCTGTCAACTGATTAGTGTTCCTGCTGGAGCAAGCACCAAGAAGGCCATGGATGACTGCCAGAAAGACATGTTCCTGATAAGGATGCTGAGTGAAACATTAAACACCTGCATTTTGTACTTTTTTTCTTGCCCTATAGTGACTGCTTTAAGGCTGCTGTCAAAAGTCTTTTCAACAGAGAAGTTTTGTATGCTGTGTTTGATGAATTAAATTGAGCTGTTGTGCTTCATGGTAGGATGACTTTATTCATGCGCAGTGACATTTAAATGTTCCATTTGTTTACTCAGGCTTTATCCTTGAAGATTCAACAGTCGCAAAACCAACATGCAAATATCACTGTCCCAGAGCAAATATTATACAGATAAATAGTGAGTCGAATGGTTAAAGTAAATAGTATTTGAAGCCTTATTTTACCTTCACCTTTGGGTCAAAGGTAGGGAGAGATAAAAGCGGGAATGTGTGGGAGAGCAGAGAAGAAAAAGCAAGGTTTCTATGAGACAAAATGCCAAGGCTGAGACATCAGACCTTCTCCTGCTGAAAAACTGTAAAATCTGTGAAAATTCAAGGTTACAGACAAACAGTTGAAGGTTCCCTGTTTGAGCTCCAAACTCTCACTGGCCAGACTAAGGAATCTTAAATTGAAAGTTATAAGATGCAAATTAGATTATTTTCTCCCATTACTTAATTAAGTATTGATTAACAAAAACATTTTGCTTCCAATTTAATTCAAATCGATCTACTTCTTTTTATTGTCTCTCTGAAATAATGCCCTATAAAACTTCCTTTGAAGAGTTTATCTTTTTCAAAGAGTTGTGTGTCTGATGTAGTTCTTTCAAGCGCATGTGGTTGCGTGTAGAGTTTGTGGTATTTTGGGCCAAAAAACAACAAAGACAAAACCAAAACCTGCTGAAGACTTCATGAAACCCAAAACAGCAATGAATCTTAACTGTCTTTGTCAGATTCAGGGCTATCTTGAGGCTGCACATTGCATAAAGTCTGAAGTAAGAAAAGAGCATGTTCTCCATTTTTTTAAAGGCTCTTAGATGGCTCAA